CCAAAGTAGAAGAAAGTAATAAGAAATCAACAAAATAGAAAAAAGACAAAATAAGCAATGAAACCAAATCTTGGTTCTTGGAAATGATTTAAAATTGATAAACTTGGCCAGGTGTGGTGGCTCAAATCTGTAATCCCAGCACTTTGGTAAACTGAGGCAGGAAGATTACTTGACCCAAGAGTTCAAGACCAGCATGGGCAACACAGTGAGATCCCATCTCTACAAAAACAAAACAAAACAAAATTACCTGGGTATGGCGGCGCACACCTATAGTTCAGCTACTCAGGAGGCTAAAGTGGGAGGATTGCTTAAGACCAGGAGGTTAAGACTGTAGTGAACTGAGCTCATAACCACACACTTCAGCCTGTGTGCAGAATGAAGCCCTGTCTCAAAAAATAAAAATAAAAAATTGATAAACTTCTAGTCAGACTGATTAAGAAAAAAGAGAAGACATTGAAAGTATCAAGAATGAAAAAGGGAACATCATAACTGATCTAACAGATAGATGTTAAAAGGATAGTAAGAATTTTATGAACAATTTCATGCCAATAAATTAAAAAACTTAGATAAAATAAATTCCTTGAAAGACACATATTACAAAAATTGACAAAAGAAGAAATAGAGATTCTTAACAACTATATATATATATAAAAGACATTTAATTGAGTATTAAATTCCCATAAGGAAAACTCCAGACCCAGATGGTTTAGTGTTGAATTTTATCAAACATTTAAGAAAGAAGCAATACCAAACCTACACACATTTTTTTTCTAGAAACAGAGAAGGAAAGAACATTGCCAGCTCAGCATCATCTTGATATCAAAACTTGACAAGGACATTACAACAACAGAATACTATAAGCCATTTCTTCTCACGAGGAATTGTAAAAATCCTTACCAACATATTCATACCACATTATACGGAAAACGACTTCAATAGATACAGAAACTGCATCTGAAAAGACTCAAGCTTTCGGAAGTTTCTTCTGAATGCCTAACAAGTCTCTCCACCTTCTCTGGTAGGAGCTTAACTGTGTGAGCCTGGTGTGAGTGCTTGTAGTTCTCAGCCCTGCTCATGGATTTCTTTCATACTTGCTCTGATGAGTATTCACTAACAAGCTCTAGGAGACCCATATCCAAACTGGCAGGCTCTTTCTGCCATAGTTCGCCCTATCTTCTCACTCTGCCCCCTCAACTAAGAACCAGCCCAATGTCTTCATATTCTGATCTCTTAATTCAGCAGAGCTGTCATCTCTGCTTGGATCACTTCCATAAGCTGTGGGTAGAAAGTGCCCTCAGGCAGAAAGCTGGGGAGACTCTGGGTCCTGCCTCTCTCAGGGACCCATGGTCCTCTTGCCTACTGTCCAATGTCTGAAAATAGCTGCTTCATATATTTTGCTCAGATTCCTATTTGTTTACTCCAACATGGATTTCAGAAGTGAGATTCTTGGCAAGGAATTTTGAAGGTAGAAACACAGTAGCAGTTGAGTAGGGAGTATTTGGTAATTGGTTCTTTGAGAATACATAAAGGAAGAGAGATATCAAAGAGAGTGCCAAGCATTTGAGTTAGATGCCTGATAGAGAATGCTGGGCAGTGGCTGGGGGACACACAGGAAATGCTCAAAAAGTTGAAGATGCAGAGCTCTGACTTGAGGGGAATATGGTGGCCAGCAGAGGTCCGCTTGAGTGAAGTCCACAGCTGTGGGAGGAGAAGCTGTTGTAGTGGATGAAATTTGCAAGGAGACAGGAGTGAGAGAGGAAAAGGAAAAACACAGCTAAGGACAGGATCTTGTAAAGAACTTAGGTTATATTACGAGTAATAGCCACCAAAGGCAGAGAACAGAATATAATCAGGGAAGTTATTTCAAAATAGCTAGAAGAGAAGATGTGAAATGTTCCCAACACAAAGAAATGATAGATGTTTGAGGCGATGGATTTCCTAAATATTCTGACTTAATTATTACACATTCTATGCATGTACCAAAATATCACATGTACCCCCAAAACACGTACATATATTATGTATTAGTAGAAAAAAAATTTTTTTAATTGCATCTGGCAGTGAAAAGGTCATTGGTGACCACCAAAGAAGACTGCCAGTAAAACAATGGGGGCATGACCTTGACTGCAATGGTTAATGGGGAGTGGGTGCTGAGGAAGTGGAGGCAGGGAAAGAGCAGGTGAAAGGAAGAAGAGAGATCTCAGAGCAGCTGGAGGGTGGTGAGTAGGTGTGCTTGGGTTAGGGCAGACTGAACCGTGGCTGTTGGCAGAGGGAGTCATCTTCCCTGAAGCTCTGCTGCTATAAATCTAACTTGCTGACGGTGTGGGTGTTTGCGTCCGTAGAAATTCCATTTCCATCTATTCATGTCTGTATTTATTTATTGCTTGCCTGGTTCCAAAAGGGATTTCAGTAGGCTCGGCCTCCAGTCTGTCAGGGACTCACTCGACTCAGCCTCCCTCTTGTCATCCAGGCTGCAGAGGATAATGCAGGTCAGCTCATGAATCGCCAGCACCTAAGTATGAGGTAGGCTGTTGAAGCACAGAGCAAGGGGAATTGTGAACAGAACACTCAGACTCCGGGATCTATTAGGCTCCATTGCTCCTGCAGAATGGTGGCCCACCAGCTTCACATCAGGTCCACCCTTTGGTCCTCGAGGTGGGTGCTGTGTCCTGCCTGCCCACTGCCCCTCCTGCTGCTTTGGCTAAGACAGGAGTTCCCGACACACTGAGGTACCCCTTCTCCCAGCTGGGCTTCACTTTGTTTCTGGGTTTCAGAGCAGTGTGGCCTGGCTCTCCTGTGGGGCTCTATTTTACCTCATTGCTGTCCTGACAGTGTCCACGGGCCAGCGGGGCTCGGGGCTGTGTGAAGAGGCAGCTGTTTCAGCTTTGTGCAACTCCAGGCCTCATGTGGGTGAAAGAGCCCTACGGGTGCAAGTTTTTAAAAGCTGAGCTAACACGATCTCAGCAGGCCCAGGAAGGACGGGCACTTTGCGTGGGGATCTGGAAGTCTCTGAGGTAAAAGAACTCCAAAGCTTGAGGTGATGGATTTTACCCCATGAGAGGGGTAAAAGAGCCGCAATGCAATGAACTCCACCCCGTGGGGTTCTTTTACCCCAGGGACTTCCAGACCCCCAGGCAAAGTGCCCGTCCTTCCTGGGCCTGCTGAGACAGTGTTAGTTCAGCTTTTAAAAACTTTTCTCAGGCCGGGCGCGGTGACTCACGCCTGTAATCCCAGCACTTTGGGAGGCTGAGGCGGGCAGATCACGAGGTCGGGAGATCGAGACCACCCTGGCTAACACAGTGAAACCCCATCTCTACTAAAATTACAAAAATTTAGCCAGGCGTGGTGGCGGGCGCCTGTAGTCCCAGCTACTCCAGAGGCTGAGGCAGGAGAATGGTGTCAACCCAGGAGGCGGAGCTTGCAGCGAGCTGAGATCGCGCCACTGCACTCCAGCCTGGGCGACAGAGCGAGACTCCGTCTCAAAAAACAAAACAAAACAAAAAATGCAAACAGTTGTTAACAGCTCATTCACTTTTGTCGAGTCAAATGCCCCTCCCAACCTGTTCCCAGTTTTCAGGTGTGTCCACAGAAGCCCAGAGAGGTCAGACGATGCATCCAAAGTCGCATGGCTGAGCCAAGATGGAGGAAGGACTGGCATCAAGGCCTCCAGCTTCCTCCTGAATTTTAAGGTCTTGTAAAGGGTCTGTAACTTGCAGGGAGACAGGTTTCTTGTACGTCACCCAGTACTCCAAATATCCAGTATAACCCAGATTAATCCCTACAGCCTTATGAGGCACGTAGAAGGATTCTAAATGGCTGATTTTCAAGTCCAAGGACACCACAGGGCTGGGAACTCTGACCTTGCTCCTGGTGCCATTGGACGTTTCAGTTCGCAGAGATGACACCAGAGCAGCACCCCAGGGCTGTCCCTGAGTGTCACAGAATGAGTATGTCTGTATTTCAGAAACATTCCTTGCACGCCTCATGTATTTCAGAGTTCTCAGTCAGCACCAGCTAATTATTTCCCATAGCTTTTTGTTAGTGGGTTAGGATTGGTGCCCCTCATCCCACACACTGCGAACAGCAACAGTTCACACCAGGGGAGTGTCTGTTCCAGACGGAAGAGAAAACCAGGAGCACAGCTTGTGGTGGGGCTCCAGTTGCAGACCCTGGGCCATTCAACCGACACAGCAGGGCCAGCTTTTTTCTCCATGTCGGGAATTTTTTCAAGGCCCATCTCAGAATGATGTTTTGGGCAAAAAAATTGTCTGGAAGAGGACAGCCACTTTTGTTTTTACAGTGTGATCCTATTTATGTAAAGCTTAATAACTTCAAATAGTATTACATACTGCAGACTTCATACTATAAAAAAAAAAAAAAAAAAAAAACACCAAAACTCACAGGAGATTGAATTTCTAAATATTGAAACAAAAACCTTAACTTCAGGGGAAAGTATAGGAGAATATTATCACCTTGAAACTGATAAATACTAAAATGCAAAACTTCAGCAGAAGAAAAGAAATAAAAAATTAAAGAACCAACCAGAGTCCAGAAGAAGATATTCACAGCACACATGACTGAAAAAATGATTTTTATATTCTCATATATTAAAAAACAGCCACTTTTTAGAAGGACCATTTGATCCAGCAGTCTCACTACAGGGTGTCTACCTAGAAGAAAAGAAGTCATTATACAAAAAAGATACTTGCACATGCATGTTTATAGCAACACAGTCTGCAATTGCAAAAATGTGGAACCAGCTCAAATGTCATTTAATCGAGTGGATAAAGAAGCTGTGGGGTGTGTGTGTGTGTGTGTGTGTGTGTGTGTATATATATATATATATGAGGGAATACCACTCAGCCATAAATAGGAATGAATTAATGGCATTTGCAGCAACCTGGATGTAATTGGAGACTATTATTCTAAGTGAAGTAACTCAGGAATGGAAAACCAAACATCGTATGTTCTCACTCATAAGTGGGAACTAAACTATGAGAATGCAAAGGCGTAAGAATGATACAGAGAACTCTGGGGACTTGGGAAAAAGGGTGGGAGGTGGTGAGGGATAAAAGATTACAAATTGGGTTCAGTGTGTACTGCTCAGGTGATGGGTGCACCAAAATCTCACAAATCACCATTAAAGAACTTACTCATGCAATCAGATACCACCTGTTCCCCAAAAGTCTATGGAAATAAAAAATTAAAAAAGAATAATAACTTTTAAAAAAATAAAAATAAATAAATTTATCTTGTCAAAATAAAGTAAAATTAAATTTTAGAACAGCCACTTTTAATTAAAGTGAGGTCCCTCAGCGGGTCAGCCCTACCACTCCCCCTGCCTGCCCCACGCTGTGGTAAGTATACAAATATGATCTATTTCCTTCTTTGAACAGTCTGGAAATAATAGAATCTGTTATGGGCTGAATGGTGTTCCCCCAAAATGCTGATGCTGAAGCCCACACACTCAATGTGATTCTATTTGGAGTCGGGGCCTGTGAGAAGGAGATAAAGTTTAAATGACGTCAGGAGGCACCTTGACCTTGGACTTCAGCCTTTAGAACTTCAAGAAAATGAATGTCTGTGGTTTAAGCCACCCAGCCAATGGTAATTCCTTATGATAGCCCAAGCTAATATGGACAATGTTTATTTAAAATCACTTATTTTGAAAACGAGGAAATTAAGGCCCTCAGATGTGATTTGGTGGAAGTCAACTTTGCTTCTGAGTGAAAAAGCCAAAACTAGAACCGGGTTGACAAGCCAGGCCACTCCTCACCATGCCACAATGCATGTTTTGTTTTGTTTTTGTTTTTGTTTTGAGACAGAGTCTCGCTCTGTTGCCCAGGCTGGAGTGCAATGACGCGATCTTGGCTCACTGCAACCTCCACCTCCCAGGTGTAGATTCTCCTGCCTCAGCCTCCTGAGTAGCTGGGATTACAGGTGCCTGCCACTATACCTAGCTAAATTTTTGTATTTTTAGTAGAGACAGGGTTTCACCATGTTAGTCAGGCTGGTCTTGAACTCCTTGAACCTCAGGTGATCCACCCACCTCAGCCTCCCTAAGTGCTGGGATTACAGGCCTGAGCCACCATGCCTGGCCCACAGTGCATGTTTTAAACTTAAGCTATCTGCACCCAACCTCAATAGACAATGCTACTTGACTTACTTGCATGAGTTTCTGCTATCTTCCTCAGTAAGTCACAGGATGAGACAACACAGATTCGAAGCATTTATCAAAAAAGTGATTTTGATCCAGAGCTTTTCAGGCTTGCAAACTCAAATGCTTCACGGACTTAGGCAGGTAAATGTGTGAAGTGGCTGGTAAAAATCAATAAGGAGTGGTGAGGGTTGTGGCAAACTGGAGCATCTCTCTGTAGGGCACTTACATTCCAATTTTTTAATCATTAAAGCCAAACCAAACACATCTGGCTTGTAGGTCATCCATCTGGCACCTCTATCTGGGTAGGCAAGGCTAAGCTGCAAATACAAAGAAATCCTGAAGTCTCAGTGACTTATCACAATAAAAATATATTGCTCACTTATGTCACATACTAATGTGGTTGGAGATTGGGGCAGGCTCTGCTATACACAGTTGTCCAAAGATCTGGCTCCTTACATCTTAGGGAACCACTAGTCCCAACACATGGCCTTCAAGGCTGTGGCAGAAGGAAGTGAGAAAGAGAATGCGAGGGAGCTGGTTGATGTGCCAGGCTTGGAAGCGGCATCTGTCGTTTTGGCCCTCATGCCACCGTCCGAAGCCAGGCTCACGGCCCCACCTAGAAGGAGGGGAGCTGGAAGGATCCCTTGGTATGCAAGCCCAGGAAGAGCCTGAAACAGTTTGTGGGCAGACAGTATCATCTTGGCCTCACCTGTTCACAGGTGCTGTGCCATGCCCCAATGCACCTGAGTCTCACAGCTCACTCTGGGAGGCAGGCTGCATTCGTGACCTCACTTTACTGATGACAGGAACTGAGGACCACAGGTGTTAGGCCACCTCCCCCAATCACAGAGCCACTAAGAGGAAGAGCCAGGATTCCTTCCCTGTAAACTCTCACCCAGTCCTCTCTTAGGCCTGGTTCCCAGAGCCACTCACCATGTGGGAAGGGACAGAGGGAGATTTCTGGCTGTGGCTATTCCACCAAGAAGGGGTGTGGTGTGGTGGCAATGCTATTCCTCCAGCTCTAAGTACAAAGCACATTTTCTGGCTGAAAGCCTTCAAATGGGTCAAAGCCTTCTTTCATCATGGCTCCTTTTCTGTAAACAGAAGGTGCCTAGATGTGGAGGGAAGAGATGGGAGCTGGGACTGAAGACTGTCCTGTGGTTTCCAGGAAAATCTGTGGATTCTACTGAGGGTCATGATTAAAGATAAACCAGATCTGCATCTACCAGTGTTGCTGGCTGTGCTGGACAGTCCGGGGCAGGGGCTCAGGGTTACGCCTCTGGATGTGGCTTTACCAGGCTGGCAAAAGACATGGTGAAGGGAAGAGCTGGGGAAGCGGGAATACCTGAGATTAGGGGTGCAGTCAAGATTAC